TCAGGGTTGACTCAGCCTTCCATCCTTCCGAGGTGGGTAAAATGAGGACCCAGATTGTTGGGGGCGATATGCTGACTCTGTAAACCGCTTAGAGAGGGCTGAAAGCCCTATGAAGCGGTATATAAGTCTAACTGCTATTGCTATTGCTATTGTGGAGAGTAACACAATTAAGTATAGGATTATAGCCCGTTGCAACAGCCCATAGTGACAACTCAGAGGCCTTGGGACTTTTGACCTTCTGCATAGTTTCTTTCTCCACATCCTGTAGTACGAATGGCTTCTGGAATTCTTGTTCTATCATTTTGAAAGATTTCCAAGTTCTATTTCTTCCGCTGGGTGGATAAGTTGGCTAAAATACGCCTTCCTACCAAAAAATGTAGACTTAGTAGCACCATTTCTCTGGGTTGAAGAGAAAATTGTTTAGCATTCTATTCCCCACCCCACCTCAGGGATTATCTAATGGCACCGTTTCGCATCCAAAAATGCATACTATTCAGAGCCATCAGATTATATTGGCAATCTATCCTGGAAAGAAAGCTGTTGTATTTTAAGAGCAATGGTTTCAATACCTCCCATTTCCTATTCTGCATAATAATTGGGGAAGCATTATTGCCCTAAGCCAGGGGTCGGCAACCTTAAACACTCCAAGAGGCCCCAAAGGTCCTAACCGGAAGCCCCCTGCTCAATTCTAGAGCCTACCGGAAGTCCGGTTCCTCTACAATAGAGTCTCTTCCTAGTGTGGCATCCCTTTTCCTCTGCCTATCCTAACCAAAAGCCCTATCAATTATGGAGCCGACCAGCGACAGGGAGCCGCAGTAGAGGGATGAAAGAGCCACATGCGGCTCCAGAGCCGTGGGTTGCCGACCCTTGCCCTAAGCAGACACACCTAGGTATATATCAGAGATGGTATTCTTCCAGTTTGCCCTGATTCAAGTGAAAGATCGGCAGTTCGGCGGTTCAAATCCCGAGACATCTTTGGACAGCGTTGGCTGTTCGGCTTTGAAACGGAGATGAGCACCGTCCTCTAGAGTCTCGAACGACTAAGCGCATATGTGCAAGGGGAACCTTTACCTTTCCTAACAGACAGAGAAGCCTCACGAAGAACAAAGCTTGTGATTTGAAAAGTTGGAAGAATCAAGAAGCGGGGGCAGGGGAATAAGCATTTGACTTTTGGGGGGGTGGGGGAAAGGTCTGGACTCCACACGAGACCCCTTTTGTTAACTAGACTAAATCTGCATTCTAATTCTGCAGAGCAAACAGGTTTTATTTCCAATTTGTTTCTGGGAATCCCAAATCTGGCGGGCAGCTGGTGGAGTCACGGCTGTTGCGACAGTCCTCGTTTGTCATGGCGGGGGGCTTGGCATCCCCCAATATGAGTGGCTTTATTCTTTCCTGAAACATCAGCTGACGCAATGAAGCTTTCTGGCCACACATTGCCCTCTTTCATTAGCCAGAGACAAAAAACAAAACAACCCCCCAATTATAACCCTCTCCTTTGTTTTGGCCAGTCACCTGCCAGGCTAGCTTAGTCTCTCTCTCTCTCTGTTTCCGATCCAGTGTAACGCCAGCTACAATTGGGCCTGTGTTCTCCGAATCGATCTCTTTAGCAAGAGGAGGCTTTCGGTGTGAATTAATCATGTAATCCCTCCTCACTGGAGGGACCATCCCCTGCTCTTCCGCCCCTACTAAAGCCTAGGAAAAGATGCCAGGCCCTCAAGCTTTGCTGGTTATAAAGCAGGCTTGTCTGTCCATCACTGAACTCCTTTTCAGAGAAAAGAGCAAAAAATAAAGAAAGAGAAAAAGCAAAGCGAGGGACAAGAAGAGAAACAGAAAGGAAATATGACTAGATTTAACTTACTCTTCCATTTAAAGGTGAAGGTAAAGGTTCCCCTTGCACATATGTGCTAGTCGTTCTCGACTCTAGGGGGCAGTGCTCATCTCGGTTTCAAAGCCAAAGAGCCAGCGCT